TCGATCGTCAACAATTTCATCGATTTGACACAAGCGCATGAGAAAGTTCGTCATCATAAGCTGGCCACGAAGGCACAAGAGCTCGACTTTCCGTTGTTTCACTTGCGGTTGTGCCTGGCGGTCTATTGCTGTCCCAGAATGCTCCTCATCGGTTTATGGGTCTCGAGGCCCACTGTTGTATACTCGACTATTTTGGCGGGATGCGGGCATGCGACAACACTGCTTCGTCTCATGATCCTTCGAGAGTTGGGCGAGATTTCACGAGTTTTCCGCCCTTGTCGTCTTTACAACGTCGTCGACGATATCACGGTCCAGGTTGTCGCTACCGATTCCCTCGCCAAGTCGACGGCCGTCAAGGCCACCCAGGCGCTCTGCATGAAGCTAGAGGCTGCCCAGCTCGTCATCTCTCGCACGAAGGGCCAGACGGTTGCCAGCACCGCGGCCTAGCCAAAGAAGTTTGTGCTGGCCTAAAGCAGCGGGGCTTCAGGTCATCTCATGGTGTTAAAAATCTGGGAGTTGATTTCTCGGTCGGAGGTGTCCGATCTGCTCGAATCCAGAAAGCCAGGATCGCCAAGATTCGAAGTCGTGCGGGTCGTTTTCGGGGTTTGAGATCGCAGTTCAAGAAACTCACCACGGTTTCTCGTGTTGGAGCCCTACCTGCTGCCAGCTATGGAATAGGTGTCACAGGCATTGCTTCCCGACGGCTCCAAACTTTACGCTGCGCGGTGGCGGAAGGTATATTTGGGCCTGCACGCGGAAGATCGAGGACAGTGCAATTTATGTTATCAGGAAATCCTAAAGTTGATCCCATGTATGTTGCCAACACCCAGCCGTTACTCTTCTGGGGCAAGGCCTTGTGGGGCAATTGGGCTTCTCCTCAGCAAATGTCTGTGGTGATCCAGAGGTATCTGCAGAAGGAGGATCTTAGGTGGATTGACGTTCGAGGGCCAGCTGGGGCGGTTATTTGTACCTTGAGGCGTCTTGGGTGGTCCCCTGAGAGTTCAGCGCTGTGGAAGATGCCGACTGG